TACTGCTATTATTTGTTTTAAATGTATTTTTTATTTATTATAAATATACATAAAATATGTGTTTATATAATATATAATCATTAATACGATCAAAACAATTTTTTTTTACTGGTTTTCATTAGATTTGTTCTGAAAATGTTGTGGGTACAGTTTTGTCTCCAAAGGTGAAGCTCAGTAAAGACACTCTCACACACACTCTCTCTCTCACACACACACACACACACACACACACAGAGCATGTTGTAGGAGGTCACACAGCCGTTTCTTCTAACTCACTGTTTCTTGTTTATTGGTGGCGTCTCAGTTTGTCCTTGTGCTCGAGTGCTCATGACCGTCACATGAGCAGGAGAGCCTGTCTCTCGCTGTCTGTCGTTCAGCTCTCATCCTGCATCTGCTTATGCTCACGGAGGAAACAATCACATGCTGCAGTGAAAGCCTTGTGCCGCTGCCGCCCTTGAGCCCTTTAAAACAACTTACTGTATTCCTGAGACTTTCATGAGTTTGAATGTGAGCTCTGGTGTGGTAGTGATGTTATTGTCGGTTAAACGGGTCACAGCGTGTTTACACACTAAAAGTGATATATATGTACTACCGTAGCAGATCTCAATTGTAGATCATCACAAATGTAACTCTATTATCGTCCAGCTCTAATCTGCTAAAAGCGACTATAAGGCATGATGTTATTAAGATACTATGAACATTAAATCATGATTTAAGCTGCTTTGAAACAATGTGTATTGTGAAAAGTGCTTTATAAATACAGTTAGAGTTGACTTCATAATGTTGAATGAACATAAGAAATAAAATGACATGAAAATGGATAACAGAATTTGATTTAGCATAAATTATGCCGTCACTAAGTTAAGGACAAAATTGTGGCTTATTTATTAATGCGCTAAATTTCTCCCACAAATATTTGTTCAATATTTTTTTTTTCTTACAATAACTTTGGCTTTTCAGCATTCGTGGTAACTCGGCATCTGTGTTGCCCTGGTAACTCGGCTTCTGTGTTGTCGTGGTAACTCAGCATCTGTCTTGTCCCGGTAACTCAGCATCTGTGTTGTCGTGGTAACTCAGCATCTGTGTTGCCCTGGTAACTCAGCATCTGTGCTATCGTGGTAACTCAGCATCTGTGTTGCCCCGGTAACTCGGCATCTGTGTTGCCCCGGTAGTTGTGGTAACTCAGCATCTGTGTTGCCCTGGTAATTTAGCATCTGTGCTGTCGTGGTAACTCAGCATCTGTGTGTCGGATGCTGATTCTCTCTCTCTTTCTCTCTGTGTGTGTGTGTGTGTGTCAGGATTTGAAGAAGGTGCTGTCGTTCCCTCCATATCCGGGAGAGTTCCTGCATCCGGTGGTGTACGCCTGCACAGCCGTCATGCTGCTCTGCCTGTTTGCCTCCATCATCACCTACATAGTGCACCACAGGTAGGGCGCACGCACACATAAACACCACTAACATAGTGTCCCTTAATTCATGACTTGTTTCTACAATAATCAAGGCGTTTGAATTTAAGATGGACAAAACCTGCTCATGTAACCTTTAAATCATCAATCAACCGCTGAAATGTTTCCTCAGCTTCTGAAGGTCAATCAGAAATGTTTACGTTGCTTGTTTTTAGTTTGACTTAGTTTTATTTCTTTGTTTACTTCAGTGTTATTTTAGTATCACTGAGATACTATTATAATATTTGCACAGCCGTCATGCTGCTCTGCCTGTTTGCCTCCATCATCACCTACATAGTGCACCACAGGTAAGGCGCACGCACACATAAACACCACTAACATAGTGTCCCTTAATTCATGACTTGTTTTTATCTACGATAATCAAGGCGTTTGAATTTAAGATGGACAAAACCTGCTCATGTAACCTTTAAATCATCAATCAACCGCTGAAATGTTTCCTCAGCTTCTGAAGGTCAATCAGAAATGTTTACGTTGCTTGTTTTTAGTTTTACTTAGTTTTATTTCTTTGTTTACTTCAGTGTTATTTTAGTATCACTGAGATACTATTATAATATTATTTATGAATATTTTTATTAACGTTTATTTTCAAATTGAAAATGTTTATTTTAAATTGAAATAATATTTCACAATATTACTGATTTTTACTGTATTATTGATCAAATAGATACAGTCTTTGACTTTCAAAAATTAAAAAATATTACTGACCCCAAACTTTTGAAAAGTAGTGTTTATAAGGAAAAACAATAATTAATATATAAAATTTTTATATATTTTAAAAAATGTATCCAAGTCTCACACTTCATTAATCTGAATGACATACTGTACTAAACACATGAAATGTTTACGTTGCTTGTTTTTAGTTTTACTTAGTTTTATTTCTTTGTTTACTTCAGTGTTATTTTAGTATCACTGAGATACTATTATAATATTATTTATGAATATTTTTATTAACGTTTATTTTCAAATTGAAAATGTTTATTTTAAATTGAAATAATATTTCACAATATTACTGATTTTTACTGTATTATTGATCAAATAGATACAGTCTTTGACTTTCAAAAATTAAAAAATATTACTGACCCCAAACTTTTGAAAAGTATTGAATTAGTTTTTATGTTTATATTTTGTTTTCATTTTAATTTTAGTTATACTTTTATTCATTTTGTTTTTTTTGTCATTTTATTATTATTATTATTATTATTATTATTATTATTGTATGTCTATATAGTTTTCATTTTATTTCAGTTTATAGTTTGTTAGTACATCAAGTTAAACTAAATTAAAATGATAAATATTGCCTTGGCAACTAGCTAAAATAAAAATTATGTTTTTACTGTATACTTTATTTTATATTGACAATTTCATTTTATTTTTAGTTATAGTATTTTTTTTGTGTTTTTGTCATAATTATATTATTTTCATTTATTTAATATGTCTAATATGATGTTTTTGTTTTTATTTCAGTTTTAGCTATTTTAGTATATCAAAAAATAAATGAATGAATGAATAAAAAAAATTCCCTTGGCTGTTAGCTAAATAAATAAATAATAGGTTTTAATAATAAATAATTAATTAATAAATATGTTTTAAATAATAAATAGGTTTAGCCTTATTTCAGTTAACAGTTAATTTACGTGAAAAAATATTTTTAATGGATTGTTTTAATT